TCTTTAGAGTCCCCCACTGTGAGGGTCAGACCTGAGGCCCAGCCCATTTGTGGGGAAGACTGGACGTTTCGGGACACAGACGGGAACAGAACTAGGAGCTCTGCCCAACTGCACCCTGAAGCTCGGCTTAGGGAGCCTCCAAGGTGTAGACACCGCGGTTCCTTAACCAGTGCTGGGCCAGGGACACGTGTCACTCCCTGTTCCAAGGTAGGGGCAACTTGGGAGCAGGCTGTTTCCTAGAAAATGGGGCTGGATTGCCCAGGGCAGCCACGTTCTCACAGCACCCCCTGCAAACACCACGGGGCTCCCGGCCACACTCCTAACCACGGATGGTGTCCACTGTCCACTCTCCACCTTCACCCAGTTTGCGCTTTAGGCTGATGCGGCTTTACAGTTCACAAAACACTTCCTGGAACTCTTCTGCTTCTCACAGCCACCCTGGAAGAGAAGAAGTATTTCGCCCACTTTATAGATGAGAAATCCGAGTCTTAGATACATGCACTGCTCCCCTGAGCCAGCGGGTAAGACGCAAACTGGAGGCTTGTGCTCCCAAGTTCGGCGTTCTTTCTGTTCCTCCAAGAAATAATTACCGAGTACAGATAATTACTGAGTGTCTGCTGCTGTTTCTCCTCCCTCTCATGTAACATCTCGGAAGTCGGGTTGCGTTTCACGAGTAATAGCAGCCATAGCCTGTGATTGGCGGTGTTTTTGCTTTGTTAGTGGTACCTAACATAGTGTGCATCTTACAGTGGATGTCATTTTATTTATTTATTTATAATTTTAGTTTTTTTATTGACTTCCGAGAGGAGGAGAGCGGGAGAGAGAGAGATAGAAACATCAATGATGAGAGAGTATCATTGATCGGCTGCCTCCTGCACGCCCCCTACTGGGGATCGAGCCCACAACCCGAGCATGTGCCCTTGACCGGAATCGAACCCGGGACCTTCCAGTCCGCAGTCTAACGCTCTATCCACTGAGCCAAACCAGCGAGGGCTGGCTGTCATTTTAGACCCATGAAGCTCGGTGTGTGTGAACTGGGCGTGTGTAGATGTAGCTCCTGCCTGTCAGGGGTTTTCAGTCTCGAGGGACGATCACAGTCCCAGCCACTGACAGAACACAGACTAGGTATGAACCCAAACCAGGCCCAGTGCCCTGGGAATTCTGGCTGCGGGGACTCGGAAGGACGTTCGGGGGGATGGTTGGGGTTTGGACCCTGCGCGTCCTGCTTCTTGTGCTCAGCCAGCTGGTGGGAAGGGCAGGCCCAGTTCCCGTTCGTGTGGCTGTTGGACGCGTGGACGCTGGAGGCTTCTGCGTCGCTGATGCTGCCTGTTGACCTAGTTCTTTAACGCTCAGCCTCGGTTTCCACAGCTGTCCGGCGGGGATGCTGACTGCCTCCTATGAGGAACAGCTACGAGAACACATGGGAAGGACTTAGTCAAGGGCCTGGCACATATGGTGAGAGCTCAGTTAGTGCCAGTTACTCCCAGCGTGACATTCTAGAAATTGGGCAGAGCGGGCCGACCTTTGTTGATCAGCTGCTGTCCTTGTGTTGGGTGCGCTCACATTTGTCACCTCATTTCATTTTCAGAAGCACCTGGGAAGGTGAGGGGTGGCGCTTGTAATTTTATAAATGATGGGAGCTGCCCCCCGCCGCCGCCCCGCCTCCGCCACCCAGCCGGCTGGTGGCCGGGCTGGACTCTGTCCGACTCCCAGGCCCGCGCTCTTTTGACTGGAGCACAGCTGCTGCTGAAATTACAGGCGAGCAGGAAACCCTGCTGATGCCGGGCCCTGCTTCAGGCAGGGGATGTCATAATCAAATCATTACCCTCGGGCGGGCATTCTTAATAGTGGGTTTTCTGCTGTCGGAGGGAGAGAGGTCTCATTTGACAGAGGGGAAATTTGCTCAGGCCTCCCCCTCCCCCGCTCCCCGCCGCTGCTGGTGGAAAGCGGGCAGTTTTGCCTCAGCAGAATGGCCGTTTGTCTCCCCGACCCTCATTCCTTCTTTTGTGCTTGGCTGTGGTCTGGCCTCCCTCTCCCTGGCCTGTGGGCTCTCTCCCTGTTTTCGGTGCTGCTACCACTGCTGCCTGTGACCCTGCCATGGGCCGTGCGTGTCTGTCCTGCCTCTGAGTTTAACACAGGCAAACACACACCTTCACTCCCCCCCTCTCCTTTCTCTCAGAATGATCCTCTTTTCCCCCTAGACCAGGGGTGGGCAAACTTTTTGACTCGAGGGCCACAATGGGTTCTTAAACTGGACCGGAGGGCCGGAACAAAAGCATGGATGGAGTGTTTGTGTGAACTAATATAAATTCAAAGTAAACATCATTACATAAAAGGGTACGGTCTGTTTTTTTTTTTTTAGTTTTATTCATTTCAAACGGGCCGGATCCGGCCCGTGGGCCGTAGTTTGCCCACGGCTGCCCTAGAACCTGTGGCTCCGTGATTAACAGGCTGTGTGACCGTAAGCAGGTCAGTTAACTTCTCTGAGCTTCATGCCCCACTTCCTCCCCAAATAGATAGTCATCAGTCCAGTGGGAGGCACTGGGAGTGAATCCTGGGCCTGGGGATTGGCTTTCCCACCCTGTATCCTTCGATGCAGGACTTGATTCCCTTGTACCCTCCGTGGCCTTAGCTGCGAAACGGGGAGAGTAACCATTTTCTGGAAAGTCTTCTTTGCAGTACAGCCATTGCCTAACTCCTGCGTGTCCCTGCACTGCTTATCCCTGCCGCTCCTCCTCTTTCCTTGGGTTGTCATTGCTGAGTTCTCTGATTGTCCTAGTCACCAGGTGGAAGTCAGGTCCTTTGTTGAGTTAGTTATTCATTCAGCAAGCACTTACTCAGTACCTACCTATGTGCCGGGAGCAGAGGTTACAGATGAAGTGCGGGAAAACAGACACATGAAAGAAACGACAATACAAAGAGATCAATGATTCGATAGGGCACCCGTAGTACAACCTGGGGGAGGGGTGGAGGCCAGGAAGGCTTCCTAGAGGAGGTGATCTTCAAGCTAATGCCTACAGGAGTCAGACAAACAAAGGGAGTGGGTAGGGGAGGGGGACTGAGACTGGTCTTTGTTGGGTCTCCAGCCCCAAGCCAGTGCCTGGACCAGAGGGGGTCAGTAGGTTAGTTTCCTGTCTCTTTCCTTCCTCACTGCCTCTGAGTGCATTCCTGGGCCCTGGGGTGCTGTGGACAAGGGCGGTGCAGACGTATTCTGGATATGGCATGTCCTGGGGAGCGGGCTGCAGGAGTGGGCATGGCGGGTGTGAGGGGCTCTGCTAAATGACTCGCTGGCTCTGAGCAGGAATCCAGGTGAGCCGGAGCAAGTGTGGGAGGGATGCTGAGGATGCAGGGGCCTGATCCTGAGAGAGGGGCTTATTCAGGACAGCCCAGCTGGGCCCCCTTGATGCATCCCTTCTCCTAATGTGATCTTTTTTTTTTATTAGAATATTTTTTTTGAGAGAGAGAAGAAGGGAGAGGGAGAGAGATGGAAACATCAATGATGAGAGAGAATCACTGATTGGTTGCCTCCTGCATGTCTCCCACTGGGGATCGGGCCCAAGACCCAGGCATGTGCCCTTAACCGGGAATCGAACCGTGACCTCCTCATTCATGGGTCGACACTCAACCACTGAGCCACTCCTGCCGGCCACGCTGCCTTTTTTTGAGGGATTTAAAAAGTTCAATTTTTTCCCTTTCTGAGTCGGGCATATTGCTCTCCTCTCAAAGCTGGGACAGGACCGAGAGCATGTGCTGTGTTCATTAGTGTTGGAAAGAGACTCTGAGCCCCAGGTGAGCCCCGGGCTGAGCTCCAGGGCCTGGCCCCTCACTCCCCACACGTGTGCTCCTGTTAACAGCACGGCTCTTGAGCGCCTCTGGGCCCCGAGCCTCAGATGCTGTGTGAGTCTCCCTAAGCCATGCACTCTCCTTCTTTTTAATTTTCCTTGTGGGATGGCCACAGGGCATGAGCACTGCTCTCTTTTTCAAAGAACATAAAAAATTTTTTTTAAGCCAAAGTAATACAATGCAATGATTAAAAACCCAAACCCAGGCTGTTCGATAGTTCACTATGGCTCTGCCCTCGACCCCCTCCCCAAGCTTCACCCGCAAAGGAACCACTGCGTACTGTTTCAGCCTTTCTTCAAACCTTTGAGTGAGACATTTAGGCTCCGCGAGGCCCGCGTGAATGCACCAGCTTTCTTTCTTTTAGTGCTTTGTTTTTGTTCTCCTGACACATAGGGCTCCCAACTCACAGATGGGAAAACTGAGGCCCCACGCACGTGGGTCTGCCTTGAGTCCCATGACACGTTAGGTACTGGGCCAGGGGTGGGCAAACTTTTTGACTCGAGGGCCACAATGGGTTCTTAAACTGGACCGGAGGGCCGGAACAAAAGCATGGATGGAGTGTTTGTGTGAACTAATATAAATTCAAAGTAAACATCATTACATAAAAGGGTACGGTCTTTTTTTTTTTTTTAGTTTTATTCATTTCAAACGGGCCGGATCCGGCCCGTGGGCCGTAGTTTGCCCACGGCTGAACTGGGCCCACAACACGTTAGACACGTGTACTGTCCTCAGGTCTTGTACTGTCCTGTGCTCCCGTCCTGCCTCCCTCCGGCATCGTGCAGGCCAGTAGTGTTGGGAACTCATCCAAGGTAAGGATGGGAGGGCGGGACTGCTTCTGCGCCCTGACCCTCCTCGGCCCCCAAATTGAGTCTCTCTTACCACCTGCTGGCATGGTGCCTCTTCCCATGGAGGGACCTCTTGCCTTATAACATACAATGTGTGGTGACTTCACCAGCCCTGGGCTCCCCAGAAAAACAACATTGGCCAAGGAAGGGTCAAAGGTCAGGGCTAGTCAATGTGGCATAACAGCTCCGGGCAGACACCCAAATCCTGCAGTTCCTTGTTTGATCTTAAGGGAAATTGTTCAACGTCAAGCAGCACAGGCAGCAGCTTGGTGGTTAGCAGCCACACTTACCGTGGTGCCCAGGCAAGCAGACACGGCCCCCCCGACTCGCAGGGCACAGGCCCTGGCAGAAGATGATGGATTTCTTAAAGAACCTGTTGGTGAGTGTCCCGGGACTGTGGAGGAGTGTGGGTCCCGGGGTCCCCCTGCCTGGAGTGGTAGGTGGCGGTGGAGCCAGGGCCCCTCCTGCTGTCCCCTGGCAGGGAGCCCCAGGTGGCTGGTGGCCTATCATGGGGGCAAGGAAGCGGCCTGTCACTCAGGGGAAGGAGGAACAGACATCAGGTCCAGAGAGGACTGTGTGGAGGGCGACCTGGGAGGCCATGGCACAGGGTCAGGGGCGAGGGCCTCCCCCTGGCCTGGAGATCTGAGGTGGGGGTCCTGGCACGGGACTGGGCAGGGCTCCCCTCTGCGCTCCTCTGGCAGGGCTTCTCGGCGCTGTGCCAGCGCCTGAGGGGACCCGCAGCCAGGTGCAGGCTGTGCGCAGGGGCGGGCGGGGGGGTGCCAAGGCGGGAGAGGGAGGGACTCTGCAGCCGGGCTTCCGGCTGGCTGCAAACACTCGGAGCTGGTCCGGCCAGCCCTGTGGGGATGTGTGGTGCCCGGCGTGGCCCTGGCAGGGGACTCTGTCCCATCTCAGAGCCTTGGGGCTGTGTGGTTAGGGTGACACTCGGGGGTGGTCTATGTGATGTTCCTGGCTGGCCTGGAGAGTCAACGTACTTTGCTGAGCAAGATTGTGCCAGGAGGCTCTGTGGGTCCCTTGCTTCAGCTCCTCCAGGCCCTTTGTGCCTCTCCCGGTGACCACGGGGGCCCCGGGCTGACTGGGCCAGGTCAGGACGGTAGGATCTTCCTCATTCCCAGACCTGCCTGCTGCAGCCGGGGGTGGCCTGTCCCTTCCCTTCTCCCTCCCTTTGCTGTGTCGTCCTGCTTTCTCTAGGGGAGCTGAGCATGACAGGTTAGGGGTGAATGTGGGGGGTGACAGGGCACTTGTTTGGGGTTGGGCCAAGGAGTTCCCCAACCTCAGGCTGTGTCACCACTGGCTCCAGGACGGGGAGAGCCTGGTGTCCCTCTCACCAAAAGGAAATGGCCTGACCCTGGTAGGGGTGTGGAGGGGTACACGGCAGGGTCTTAACTTGGGGACTGATGTCACCCGATTTGTCTTTCAGAAAGACCATGTGGCTATTGTATGGGTAGTTGGTTTAGGGCGGTGTTAGTGTGGAGGCCAGGAGCCCAGTGATGGGGCTGCCACATGGTCCCCATGAGGGACAGTGAGAGATGGTGGGGCAGGGGAGCTGCTGAGAAGTGCTCAGACTTGATCTATATCTATATCTATCTCTATCTCTATCTCTATATCTATCTATCTATCTATCTATCTATCTATCTATCCTATTATCTATCTATCTATCTTAATCCTCACCTGAGGATATGTTTTATTGATTTTTAGAGAGAGAGAGAGAGAGAGAGGAAGGGAAAGAGAAACATTGATGTGAGAGACATCATTAGTTGCCTCCTGCATGCTCCCCAATTGGGGATTGAACCCACAATCTAGGCATGTGCCCTGACTGGGAATTGAACCTGAAATCTTTTGGTATATGGGATGGTGCTCCAACCAACTGAGCCACCCGGCCAGGGCAGTCTTGGGATATGTTTTGACAGTAGACTGCAGGTGGGTTGGAAGTGGGGAATGAGGATGGAGAAATCAATGATGACCCTTAGGGTTCTGTCCTGAGTGTCAGGGTGGGTGGAGGATGGGAGATGGGCTGGGGTGGAGGAAGGTGTCTGAGGGAAAAAGTTAGGGAGCCTTCTGTTGGGCTTCGTTGAATCTGAGGTGCCTATCCGACATGCATGTGAGATGTGGAGTTGGCAAACTCAGGTAGGCCTGGACTTGAACCTGGCTTCTGCCTTTTCCGTGTTCGCTGTGGGTCAGTTGCTTAACCACTCTGGCCCTGCCACTCTCTAACCCCCCTCCCTGGGCTCCTGTGAGGCTGAGGGGGTGGCATTTGTGAGGTGCTTGTCAGTGCCTGGCACATCATGGGTGCCCAACAGCGGATACCTGGGGGCTTCCTAGAACTTGGCTTCTATCATCCCATTTTCTAGCTCAGAAACATTCAGTGGCTCCCTATTGAACAGCTGAGCTAGGAGCGTGTGCCTTGTGGGCTGTTTTGGCTCATGGGTGTATTTTGTTTGGTCCACATAGAGACCTTTAAGCATTTGGATTGGTTATCAATGTATAAGAATTGGGAGCGTTCACATTCAAATTTGTCTTGAAAAGTTGAAAACTCTGGTTCCATCGAGCTTGTATTTCTGCTTGCAGCCCAGCTGCAGATAAGCAGCAGTTGCCCCTTTAAGAAGGGGGCGTGTGCTCTTCAGTTCACCATTGTTTCACCCCCCCCCCCCCCTTAGGTCATCCTTGTTGTTGAGCTGAAATTTACAGAACATAAAACCAATCACTTTAAAGTGACCAGTTCAGTGGCCTCTAGTACATTCACAAAGTTGTGCAACCACCATCTTTCTCTAGTTCAAAAATGTTTTTATTATCCTCCCATAAAACTCCCTTAAGCAGTTACTCTTCCTTCTTCCCTCCTTCCGGCCGCTACAGCCAGGAAGCTGCTTTCTGTATCTGTGGACTTACCTATCCAGGATATTTCGTAGAAGTGGGATCATACCATACAGGGTGGTGCAAAAGTAGGCTTACCGTCATCCATACAGGAAATAATACAATAATTACTAAATAATAATACAAGAATAAACTCTGTGCTTTGCATATTCACAATTGTAAACCTACCTTTGCCCCACCCTATAGGTAAGCATAATGTTTTTGAGGTTCATTCACATTCTAACATATACTTCATTCCTTTTTTTTTTTTTTTAAATTTTCACGTGAGGATATTTTCCCACTGATTTTAAGAGAGAGTGGAAAGGAGGGGGAGAGACACACAGAGAGAAACATCAATGTGAGAGAGACACATCGATTGGTTGTTTCCTGAATGGTCCATGAGAACAGGCCTTGACCAGGGCTGGGGATCGAGGCTGCAACTGAGGTAGGTGCCCTTGACTGCAATTGAACCTGGGACCCTTCAGTCCTCGGGCCAATGCTCTATTCACTGAGTCAAACCGGCTAGGGCACTACATTTCTTTTTTATGGCTGTATGATACTCCATTGTGTGGATATACCACAGCTTGTTTTTCTGTCCATCCGTTGATGGACATTCAGTATGTTTCCATGTTTTGGCAAGTGTGAATAGTGCCGCTTTTCACTGTACGAGTGAACAACATTTGTGTACATGTATTTGTTTGAGTAGCCCGGGCTATTTTCAGTTTTCTAATTATAGCATTCTAGAGGGCATGATGTGGTATCTCACATGGTTTTATTTTGCATTTCCCAGCAACTAATGATGTTGAACATCTTTTCATGTGCTTATTATCTGTTTGTATATTTTTGGAGAAATGTTGGAGAAATGTCTATCAAAGCCTTTGCCCATTTTAATTGGGTTTGTGTTTTTGCTATAAGAGTTCTTTTTAAAAAAATATATATTTTATTGACTTTTTACAAAGAGGAAGGGAGAAGGATAGAGAGTTAGAAACATCGATGAGAGAGAAACATTGATCAGCTGCCTCCTGCACACCCCCCTACTGGGGATGTGCCCCGAAACCAAGGTACATGTCCTTGACTGGAATCGAACCTGGGACCCTTCAGTCCGCAGGCCGATGCTCTATCCACTGAGCCCAACCGGTTAGGGCAAGAGTTCTTTATATATTTCTGGATTCTAGACTCTTATCAGATGTACCTCCTTTTCCCCTGGCTGCTGGCACCCGGTTTTACTCTGGCACTCGGCACCAGGTCTTCGCTCTGGGCCAGAGCCGGCCTCGGAGAGTGAGGCTTTTCGCTGCTCC